ACCCAATCCGTCCCGAAAACGACATGCTTGGGGGAGGTCGATCTCTGGGATGGTTGGCCCCGTCGGCACGAAATTAACCGCTACGAGGGCAGTGCACCAATGCCAATGGACTCTCTGGCATCCTGTTGGCCCCTTTGCCCACTGGCCTCTGTTGACCTCCTCACCCCTCCGACACTGTGCTGGATGTGCCACCATGTCAAAAGGAGTTTACCACTGATTGAAGTTGCAAGCTGTGCCAGGACTGAGCACGGACTCTGCGGTCCTACGACTGGGCTAATTTTGTGACTCCCAGCCTCACTCTGTTATTTGCTCACAAATATCCTTTGGCTCTACCAAGGTGGAGCAGCGTTCTGCCAATCCGAAGAGAGAGACTCTTACGCCTCTCCTGCATTGAACATGTCAAAGCACCCATTTACACACCCAGAAAGCCTCACTTTGACGGCGGTAGCCTCAATTTCCACGTGTGCCCTTGCGTGGGCTTTCACGCTGACCTGAGGAACTCAGTTTCACCCAAACATGGCACAAGGGCACGGAAGAACGGGAGAGGAGGTACTGGGACTGTTGTGGCAAGCATACCCACAGCAGACCTATCGCAAACAGGGCACGGACGAGACGTCCAAGGCGCAACAGAGTCACGGCGGCATTAAACGGAAGCTATCGCATAACAGCTGCTTCGGATGGCGTTGATACCGGCCCTGAAGGTTTCCGCCACACTCTTTCCCTGAAATCCAGGTTTTTGATATGCGTGTTACTTCCGTCGCCCGAACGGCATGTCACCGCTCACGCTTGTGTAATTCCGTTGTCATCAACGAATCCTTTTTTCAAGCGGTAGTCAATCGGACTCGACCGGGGACAATTTGCAATTTCTCTACAGCTTTGACATTCGCAGTATTTTACACTGCGTGTATCTGCTGAGTCTACCTTGTCGACAACAACATTGCTGCCTACAGCTCTGCTCCCTTGCAGATCACGTATGCTGGTTGACACCGCTAAGAGGTCAGAAATGACCTAGCTGTCTAGGCGCGGAGAGACCAAACCCTCGGCTCAAGCTTCACCCAGCGCTCCCATCATTTCGACTACTCGTGAAGCTCACACAGTACCATCGCGACTCGCAACCTCTTCTGCTTCTAAGATCTTCTCTATTCTTCTGATGCTCTTGTTACTGGGGCACGAAATGCTGCCATCCTCGCGGTCTTGCGGTTGGGGAGCGGACCACTTGGGTTGACTAGAGCCTTGCCAGAAGGACAAGATGCGAGCGAAATTGCAAGGCGAAAGCGCCTTCCAGATTTGGTCCTCCAGGCTGCGAAAACTATCAACGGGGATCGTCTCCTTTCCCTGGTCCTCGTGCGTCCCTTTTCTCAGCTCGTCTCATTTTCCTCAATCGTCCACATGCGACCAACAGAGAGAGAGAGCCAGCACAGAAAAAGAACCAAAGAACAGCAGACACAATGGGTCATGGTGGAGAAGGAGCACAACCGGCGCACAGACTGGCCAGCCAGTCAGCCAGCCGAGCATACGAGAATATTATTACTACATTCTTGCCTCCAGACGAGAAGTGACTCTTCACTTCGTGGAACGGAGTAGACAGGGAGTGGGTGGGCAGGTAGGGATGCCTGGGGTGCAAGCTTTAGCTGCTCACTGACCACTGACTGAGACAGGAGCTGCAAGCAACAAGCCTGCATATAAAGTACACAGTACAACGACCCGTGACATGGAGGCAGACAGACGACTTTCAAGGACATTGTTGAGCACATTGTTGGCTTAACCACCGAGTCTACCATAACCACCACCTACCATCACTACTACACTACAATGCGCTGCCACTCTTATTTCCCAACAAGTAACGAGCACCACCAAAGTTAATCTCAAGAGACAGAAGACAAGAAGAGAAGAAATGATTATGTGAATATGAATATGAATGAATGTCTGATGTCTGATTTGCAGCGCCGCCCGAAAGATTTCCTTTTCCCCCTTCCTTTCCTGGCACGTGCCTGTCTTGTCATTTCCCAGCATCCCTGGACTCCTTGGAGCCCTCTGCTCAGCTTGGCTTGCTGTGTACATATGTCGCCTGGCACTTCTTGGACTGAGTCACTCCCCTCTCGGGTGGCCGGGGGAGTGTGAGTGCGCGAGCACACAAGTGTCAAAAAGGGCCCCAAGGAGAAATTAAAAGAAAGTTCCTCGTCCTCAACTGAGCATGGCACCCTCTAGGCGCCGACGCTCGTCCCGAAAATCATTCAAAGGAATGGATATACACCGAAAAAAGAATGACATAAAAGGCACCATCTCAAAAGCATCCATGACATGACAAGCAAATGCACTCGCTACCCATCCCAAATTCGGCCCCGATGCCGATCCCAAGTTTCCTCCCATTCCTTTCCTGTATACATCGTCCCAGGTCGTTCATCAGTTGACTAGAATACATTTACATGTGCAAGGTGTCGTGCAAAGGACGTACAGTGGCGCTCACGCCCGTTGCGGTGTCGACGTTCTCGTTGCGTTAGAAGCCATCAGTTCAAATGGAGAAGAAGTCCTGCGACGAAGGATCCAGACCCATCTCCATCCCACCATAGTCGAGGAAGTTGTCAAAGTCATTCCTTTCGTGCTGCTCCATCTTGACAGGCAGCTGCGGTGAATGTATGGTCGAGGTGGAGTTGGTTGGTAGGTCCGAGAAATCAAAAGCCACCATATCAGCGGCAGGTGATGAACACGAGTGTGAAAGACTGGGCAAACTCTGTCCTGAAGACATGTTCATGGTAGCACCCATCATTGGCAAGCCATTATCCATGGTCGGAAGGCCTGGCAACATTTGTGATCCATCACTATGTTGCAGCTCTGGAATCTCGCCTAGCTCTGCTGGCGTCAGCTCCCGGTAGACAGGACTAGGCTTGTTACCGGTCGAATATCCTGGACTATGTGGAGGGGTGAAGGAGAACGTGTCGGGAGGAAAGCCCATCATCTGATCCATGTTGAGGAGATTGTGCTGCGGCATACCAAACAGGGCCATGTTATCGAAAGGCGACGATCCGCGGATGCTCAGATTGTCCATCGTCTCCGTTGGCGGTGAACCCCAGCTTGACACGGAGCAGCTCGACGCAGAAGATGTGTAAGGATCATTGTGCTGCTCGACGGTTCTCTGCCTGGTTCGATTGGCTTTGTCTAGGCGTTCATCCATCTCCGGTCGATGCTTTCTCGGTCTGCCACGTTTCATCACCTTCTTCACAACACCGTCAAATGCACCAATACACATTCCTCTTTGCCTGTGTCGAGTCAATGCGTCATGTCGAGCGAACGAGTTCCCACAGAGACACGGATATGGTTTTGTACCCGTGTGGATTTTGGCATGGCGTTTCAGATCATGGCCTCGGACGAAGCATTTCTTGCAATGATCACATCGGAATTGACGATCTCCGAGATGCGTCTGGATGTGTGATTTGATGTTTTCTTTGCGGCCAAATCTTTTGTTGCAATCCTCATACTTGCAGACCCATTTATTGTCCACTGGATCTGGACCTTCGATGAATTGTGCAATGTCATCAAGCGTTATATTGGTCTCCTCAATTGATGCCTCGATTCCTGGTTCCAGATTGAGGTCTGAGATCGACATACGGCGGGGTGAAAGTGCTGGCCTTCCGGGCGAAGCACTGCCTGCTGGTGCCTTCTTGGCTGAAAAGTCTGGGACAACCATGTCTTCGAGCTTGGGTACTTCAGCCTCCAAATCGTCATGCTCTCCTGGACTCGACTCAACCTTGACCTTCATTGGCTCTGTTTGCCGGGCCGCTGGTGGGGTCCCGGCGCGTCTCCGTGGTTCAGGCAGGGGCATCTCGGCCATTTCAAACAAAGGTTTGGTTGGTGACCCGATGGGCTCGGCTCCCAGTTCCTCGTGCTCGATGATTCCTTGAAGGGACTTACCCCGTGTCATGGGCACTGGAAAGGGCGATTGCAGGGCAGGTGATGCTTGTAATGACCGTGAGTACTGAACGGCTGGGTTGTGTTGACTGAAAGGAGGTGTAAGAGGAAGTTGTGCTGATGGAATGTCAGATACCCTGTCAAAATTTCCGAGATCGGGCAAGCACTTACCAGACTGGATTTGATGTGAAGGTGTATGAGGTCGCAGCTGGGTCTGAACCCGCAGATCTGGCTGTGACATTCTTCGATTGTCAAAGGAAATACCGACACCTTGCTGAAACTGAGGTGCCTGAGCTTCATGGAAATATTGTAGGCTGTTCTCATCCATGAGTCCCGTTGGCACTCCGTTTTGCATCGACATGTTGAGATCGGTAAAGTATTGTTGGGAATGCGAAAAGGTCATGCCTGGAGAGTTCTGTTGCATGATTGCATTCATTCTCATGTTGTTGTACGGCGACGTTGGCATTGATGTAGTCACCGGGAACATACCACAATCTGGAGAGATGGGTAGTTCCATGTTCATATTTGGTTGCTGCTGGCCCGGTCTTGCTATTCGTTGCTGCTGCGCTTCCCGCAAAATCTGTTGTCCGTGGATTGGTCCTAGGTTAGTCATACTTACCGTGCTGCCATGCTGTTGCTTCCGTATGGGGCTTCGTTGAAGATCGAAAGATTGACCCCGTCTATGGAGGTTGTTACGTGGTTGTTGAGGCATGGCAGCAGAGACCTTCATGGCTTCGAAGGCTACAACGGGTGTCGAATTTTGTCTCCGATGTAGCCTTTGTCGTTGCTGAAGAGATGAAGGTTGGTTGGACATCATCTTAGGCGAGATGAGTTCGAAAATGGTCGCTTGTCGAAGGGTTGTTTGTCGTTCTTGTTGTCTGAAAATGGTTCCTTCAATGGTTCGAGACTGCACAAGCACCAGCTGTTAGTTCTCTGCCCACTCTGAATGGTATTTGTCCCTTGATCCAACGTACCTCACGCAGCGCAAGGGGCTGCGGACCGGGCAGCGGTCTTGTGTTATACTGTTTTCACCAGTCGCAGACGACTGTGTGCGACAGTTATTTCTTCAAAGGATGGGCCCTCTCAGGGCAGATTCAGTGGATTTGGATCAGAACTGGGTCCTGAGAGGCTTCTCGATTGAGTGTTCTGGAGGTCTTGGGGTTTCTTGTAGAGGAGAGGTCGGTTTCAAGAGTAGCTTTGGGAGGTTTGGACGTGGAAGAGGAGGATAAGAGAGGTGACTGCAGGACTGGAGGGGAGGTGATGAGTATTGACTTGGTCTCTTTACTGTCGGCGATCTCACTGGCCGTCGCTCCGGAGGTGGCGGCTGCGTAAACAGCCATGTTGACACGGCAACCGCCCAAAGCAACCACTTCTTTAAAACCTCAATAGTGCCCCACTATTCCCGAAAGGGTTGATTACGTAGTGATGCCCGGCACATCAGACCAGCACTTACAAAGTATTTTTCCTGCGATATGACAAGGCAACACATTCTCCCATCTGTTGCCGTCAGTAAGCCCCAAATCGAAGTAACGGAATAAGTCTTGTCTTTTCACACAGACACGAGGTTACTTGAGGAGCGGAGACACAGGTCTAGATTGTCTCAGATGGCGCCAGTCCTCGTGAGGGTTTCAGTAGATCTCCCCGCCCAAAGGTTAAGCACCGGTGCAACAAACCTTGCTAAAACTACATTTTGGTACCTTGGACATCGACATTGAAGACAAAATCAAAGAGGATCCAGGTGGATTAGAGCCTAAGAGCTGCGCTGGGCTCATTCAACACGACCAGGGAAGAGGCAGCCAGGATGCCGAGGTTCGGGATCAAAAGACATTTCAATATATGATGTAGCCGCGGGGTTGATGATCTCGTTGACAAGTCCAAGTGTCTGGTACATCTTCATCATGAACCAGGCCGTGCTCTCTGGACTGCGCAGGTGTCTCTGCATTGATGTTGGTACCCCGGCTTTGGCACTAAGTAGGTGTTTAATCGAACCAAGTTAACGCGCCGATGACTTTCCATAGAGGCTCAGTTGTACATCAACAGAGGTCAGCAATTCACATATGTCTCATTCAGCCTCAAGAAGGACTCCCGGATCCAAGTTCCGTCTCCCTGTACCCGGTACTATGAGTTTTAACATCAAAACAACACCACCGGATTGGTATGGCGATGATGTTTTTTCCCGGGTAGGTATGCCGAGCTGGCTCGCCAACGAAGGGAACGTCAATGTCACGTGATATGTCCAGGCTGGATCTAGGCAGTGGTAGCGATGGGTTCACAGTCAGACCAGTGAATGGATGCCTCCCCATCAGTATTTAGAATCATGGTATGGAATGCGAAGTGAGAAGATGCGTCTTTCCGCACAGTCAAGGACGGTTTTGACAGGGGCTGGAATGGCAGAGAATGTCGGAAAAGTTCCATCAATTGACGGCAAAAGGATAAACACCATGGTCCTGAACATGCTCATATATCGTACTTTTGGGCTCCAAGTGACAATGACTTAGGTCTGACAACAACTCACATATCTAATATCAGTGGTCCAACTTTCTATTGAATCAGGCCATCAAATCTTGACAATTGCGGCCCTTCTCTTTGGATGTTTGGCAAGCCAGCTTTGGCACCACAACATCCTGATCAATTCACAGGGCCTTACCACTCCCAACCTTGTGACACGCTGATAAGAGCCTTTGCCACCCATTTCGTGGAAGCTCGCCACGTACCAATATGTTCCAGCAGAATTCTTTGCGTATCTCCTTCGAGCTTACCAGTCATGTATACCTTGCAAGATGCTCCTAGGTTTGAGGTTTATTCCTCTGTGCAGTGAGACTAACATCGGCATCCCCATACCTGTTTGGTGGAGACGATGGGAATGATGGGGTGCCCAGTTAGGTACAGACAGGGAGTGAACTTGGTAGTCTGGTGGTGTAGAAGCTTAAGTTAAAAGCCGAGAAGGCGACAGGGGTTGACTCCGCCAAGGCCCAGTATAGGCAGGTGTGCCGAGTGGCTTGCGCACATCCACCCGATTTTTATCACATTTTAGTTTGAGATTCTTTCCTTCAACCAGTTTTGACCTACTGAGGCAACATTTTGCATTCAGAAGATTGAGGAAGACAGATTGCTGTCGAGGTAAGACTCTCTCACCCATGCTGCTTGCTTTCGACACCGCGCTTCCAGTGATTGCTCAGCATTCGCTCTTGCGCTATCCCAGTCTCCCTCTATTACATCGTCACCTCCAGGAAGAGACTGACAAGTCCCATCAGATCTTCAGCGATGCAAATCTTCGTTAAGACACTTACTGGGAAGACGATCACCCTTGAGGTGGAGTCTTCCGACACCATCGACAATGTCAAGTCCAAGATCCAAGGTATGTTTCACATGAGCTGGTCTCAGTTGCACATGGAGGCTTACGATATCTCCCACCAGACAAGGAAGGGATTCCCCCCGACCAGCAACGCCTGATCTTCGCCGGCAAGCAACTCGAAGACGGCCGCACTCTCTCCGACTACAACATCCAGAAGGAATCCACCCTCCACCTGGTCCTCCGTCTTCGTGGTGGCGCCAAGAAGCGCAAGAAGAAGGTCTACACAACCCCGAAGAAGATCAAGCACAAGCGCAAGAAGACCAAGTTGGCTGTCCTCAAATACTACAAGGTCGATGGTGACGGGAAGATTGAGCGGTTGAGGCGCGAGTGCCCAACCAAGGAGTGCGGTGCTGGTGTTTTCATGGCTGCGATGCACAACAGACAATACTGCGGTCGCTGCCACTTGACCTACGTCTTTGACGAGTCCAAGTAAGACTACGAGCATGGAGCGGGACGTGGCGATGGAACAGCAAGGAAGTGATCGCAAATATCGCATGTCTGGCGATTAAGCAGACAGCAAAACATCACCGCATTGCCACAGGCAACCAGACTTGAAAAATGTGAATACACCACCATAACACTGTCTTTTGTTCCTTTGGATATGACTTTCTCCCAACCCGTATATTCGTCCGTGTTGGCGGATATGAATTTCTCGGCGCCCACTTTCATGTCGTGGGGTGGCAAAATTCAGCGAGAAACCCGAGGGCCAATCATTTTTCGCGTAGAAACTCGTACCTTGTCCGCTCCACCAGACCCTATCGATAGCCCCGGCTTGTTTACATCCAAGTAATTATGTACGAGGACTTGGTCCGTCAGTCCCCAACCCGCGAGGAACCATGACACCTTTCGAGCATGCCCACGCCAGGTACCTTGCGATCTTGAAACCTCCGTCACTTCGATACCTCCAACGCTTTTGAAATCTCCAACAAGAAAAAACACCAATCATGGATGCAGTAGACGTACCAACGGCGGCTGCGCATCCCAACCCGATCGCAGACCGGCACCACCGCAAAGTCGAACTCCAGTCCCCCAATGACCTGACGTACCTGCAATCGAACCTCGCGGGCTGCGCGCGCCAGAAACTCGACCTCCACTTCCCCCCCTCGGCTGCGGTGCGACAGGATGGGCCCCAGCCTCCTGCGACTGTAATACGGTTGGACGGCGTCGTCCAGCAAGCGACAACAAGTGCTGAGCAAGCGCAAGACGACACGGGCGCGACGAGTAGTGGGCACGCGGCGGCGGTCGAGGATCCGCTGCGCGCCCGGGTGCGCGAGGTCGTCGAGGCGTTCATTGCGCGCACCTGGGACGGCGCGTGCAAGAACATCACCGTGAACGGGCTGGACGCGACGACTCTGCCTGGTGCCGGCGCGGCGCCTCCCGCGTCTGCGTCCCAGCAGCAGGGAGAAGAGAAGGAGGAGAGGGAAGGGGTCGACTTCGTCTACGAGCCCTACGACAGCCGGCTGCAGGCGAGAGTCGCGGCACTATACGGCGAACTCGAGACGTTGACCACGCAAGTGAGCAAATTGAGAAGGACGGCCCCCACGCAAGGCGCTGAGATGCTCGCGAAGCGGTTGAAGGAAGAGATGGAGGCGGACGACATGGAATTCGAGCGGCGTATTACGAGCTCGGGAGAGGCACGCGCGGGAGGAGACGGCGGCGGTCTCAAGTTCAAGCCCCCACGAGACGGGTGGTTTGACGATGTCCACGCCATGTATGAACGCGGAACGAGCGAGCTTGCTGCTCTGGCCGGCGCTAACAGAGCCGAGGACGCAGCTGATGCTCAAGTGTATGGTGCAAGTCTGACGGAGACTCTGGGCAAGGTTCAACGTGCGAGGACCGTCGCCATGGAGTTTGAGTGAGCGGTCATTGAGTACACAGAGCCGCTCCTGGCTCTGGCCGGATCATGACCCCATGAACCCCGGCCTCGACTCAAGAGACGTGGACAACTCCAATGTTGTCTCTCGCACCGTGGCTTCCGGCATTGAATTGCGGATATTGAGACGTCGGACAATTGGATGTCTAGCTCAAGGGAGATACACGACCCTCGTGGACGTGGCATCTCGTCGTCAATACCCACGACAATGAACGACCTCACTGATCGCCAGTTCAAGAGAGCATTGACCAGAAGGAAGTCCAGAGTTCTCGGACACGGTGCTGCAAGGAATCCTCGTTCGCCAGACCCAAGAGTCAATCGCGCTGTTCCGAATCAAGTCCCATCGCTATTCGACAGATGCCAATCTACAGGACAGTCTCTGGACTGGAACTCAAGCAGAGATGCAAGGTGTGAGAACGACCAATTAGTAGGTGTTGGCGGGTGCCGAGATCATATTGAGCTACCAACAATCTGGTGGTCGCCTGTCTAGGTAGGCAACGGTTCCCAGGTCTGCCTTAAGAAGCGATAGGGGGACAATGAAGAAAGCTCGCGCTTCATGAAGTGAGGTGTATTCGGGGGGAAATATCAGAAGATCTCCTCCGAAAGCCAATGTATCGTCAAAATGTACAGCAAGCAGATCCAGGCGTCGCTCTGAGCTTAGGTACTGGCATACTGTTCTTCTGTTTCTTCCACCTTCAAAATCTGTAGGCATGCCATGGGGCTTCTTCCTGCTGCGCAATCTTTGACAATGGTCTGAGATAAAAATACCTACGATCCTGCAGTCTCTTCCAGGGGCATCTTCGGTCCTTCGCCTGGCGCACTCTCAGCCTGCGCAGGGGCTGTAGCGGGGGCAGGCGCTTGTGCCGTGGTTGGATCTTGAGCACCATCAGTCGGCGCAGGTTGCACGGTGTTTGCAGCGTCTTTGCCGGTAACTGGATCCGCTCTGGCCCATTTAGGCGGCTTTGCATATTTGGGGTCTTTCCAGGGACCCTCATCACTGAACTGACAGCCACCTTCGCACTCGCACTCGCCGCCAAATTCCTTGGGGAGGTTTTCTGCGGGGACCTGTTGCAGCAGTTCTTTTTGGTAGTTCGAGCCAAGAACGTGGATCT